GAAGGGAATGGAGGAGCCTGCTTAGGTGAAGCCGATGTTGTTCTTTCAGTATCGTTTATTTCGGCTGCAGCTTGGTCAATGTCTTCCCCGATTTCTTCTTCATCCAGAGCTTGTTCGATGGATGGATCTAGGGCGGGTAGATCGTCAGCTGGCTTAGCTTTCTTTGTCTTAGCCTTCTTCTTTGGAGCCAGGGCTGAAGTATCTGTAGCCGATGATCTGGTTCTCCGCTTCTTGTCGGCATCGGCTGGTTCTCTGATGAGCCGTTGAAGAAGTGCTGAAGTCTTGGGGGCATTGAAGCCGATGGTAGAAAGAGATGGCCCACCTCCATTTGAAATTAGACCTGGAGCATACTTAATGACCTTACCGCTATTACTCTGGCGAGGAGGAGAAGATTCTGTTGTCTGCAAAACAGAAGAAAAGTTAGTCAAGGTTCAAATCGGCTGAATGACTATTCAAGCAAGATTGAAGAAATGAAGATTAACCTGAGGGATAGCATCAGGGAATAAGTCTGTCATGTACATGGAAGCCGATTGATGGAACAGATGTAGCTTCCACTCGCCCCACCATCTATCAAATGCCCTACTCCTGAGTCTTGCTAACTTTATGTTTTCAATGCTGCCTAATGGGGGTCCAGGGATGTTCAGTAGCCGATCCATCATCAAGGTTGAAGAGATATTGCCTCTACACTGGATCTTGTCGGTGAAGTACAGGCCGATTAGCAGTTTTCCCATTCCGAGCTGTCTGGCCGATGACATTGGATGATAAAACTCGTAAGAGAGCTGAATATTTCTCCCTTGATGGATGCCAATTGGGAGGATACATGGGCTGATGGCAGTAGTGAAGATTTCTCTAGATTGCTGAAACTTTTCATGATTAATGTCTTCAAACCTGAAATCGGCTGGCAGTTCGAAATCCATTGAGTCGGCGTAGAAGAACCAAATTCGGGCATCTTTTTGGAACCCGTCATAAAAGCTGAAGAACCAGTCCTTCAGAAGTTCAGCTGATAACTTTGCTCCTGCGTTGGCTGGTGTAGATGCATATTCTCCATATGACATACATCTGTGATTGGTGCGTTTTTCTCCATCATCTTCCACAATCGGCTCCAACCTTGGAAATTCAGCTTCTGTCACAGATGGCCGATTGACAACTTTCATGACTACCAGGTTCAGCCAGGATTGCAAGAGCCACCATGGTCCACCTGTTCCAACCACTGAGCCGACAATTATCTTGGCCGATGCGTTGTTTAATATCTGGTATAGATAGCCGAGAAGGATTTTGCCTAAGGGAAATTGTTTCTTCATTACTAGGGCCTCGGCTAAGAATTGCCAGTTGGTTGTAGGACCGCAGCTTGATCCGCAGAAAAGGAATTTTTCCAACCACATCAGCAAAAAAGCTACATGTTCTCTAGGAGTGACTGGCCCTTTGCCCATATATGCTGTGATATATCCTGACCAACCCCCAATGCTCTTAGTTCTGAACTCAAAAGTATTCTTGGTGTTCAGGTTCATGGGGTTAGCTGATGAGGTTACATCTAGGCCAGTGAGCATGATAATATCCAGCAGCGTTGGGGTCATTGGCCCTTGGTTGAAAAGAAAAGCATTGAGAGTGTTGGACCAGAAATAAGTTGCAGCAGCCATCAGGGGTTCATCTTTGGCCGAATTTGCTATTGTGAGGGCTAGGGCTTGGCTGATTCAGATCTCATCCCAATGGGCTTGTTTGCTAGCCGATATCCGCTTATACCATATAGGCCAGCTTTTCTCCAAAGAAGGTCAGGATTTGAAGTTGTTTTTCCAATGGCTTGTGGTTGGATTGGCCGACCTAAAAGGGGTTCTATTGGTTTCGGCTATGATAAACTCAGTGGGGTCTAGATTGCCGATTGGACCGAGAAAGTATTGTTGGTCATGCAACAGACTGGGAACTGCAACAAGATTGGAAAGATGTTACAAGAATAGAGAAGAAGAAAACAAGATAAGGTGAGCGAAAACTAGTCTGATGAACGGAAAAGGGGATCTAGCCGATGGGGCTTACCTCAGCATATTCGGTTGATGATGCGGCGGTCGGATTGGTGGAGGTCGACATCGTCGCGGGTGGAGATCTGGCCGGGAGTGGAATCGCCTGGAAATCGCCCTGTGCGTCGAGGAGGTCGCCGGAGAGAGAGAGGACGGGATCTGTTTAAGCGGTGAAGACGGAAATCACGGCGTAAAGATTTTTTGGGGCAACGGTTAGTATTTAAAGCAGAGCGATAACAGTCGGAAAAACAGCAAGTGCGAGTTTCTCTCAGAGTCGGTATATGGCAAATCCGAAACATTATCCAATATTCCGGACATGGGGGGCATGTGTTAACGACCAAATTTGGTAAATTCTATCACTATAGGCATCGGAGATGAAGATCAGATCGAAGTGGAATCCAAGATGAAGATCGTTGCGGAAACAGAGTAAGAATCGGCTGCAGTCCAAATCGGCTAAGGTCAGGTCGGCAGAGTTCGAGTCGGACGGGGCTAGCCGATACAGCCGATTCCGACAATATGACTCGGTGTATGTCATCGGGTTCAAGTTGATGTGCTTCAAGATGATTGCCACGCATGGATAGAGTCCTAGGAAGGCAATTGTATTTATTAATTAGGATATTCTATGTGATTTTCTTAGAGATATGTTTGGGCAAAAGTCTGCCGTAAAGACTTATGGTATCTTAGAGTTTGTTAGAGATAATAGTCGTGTCCGTTATGGGCGTATCTTGTAATTCTCGGGTATAAATAGACCCGAGCCCTATGTAAAAAAAGGAGAACACATCCAATACAATCTCGGCGCATCGCCACCCTTTTTGCTTTACTTTTATTTCGACAAGTTCGTCCTCTCGGGTTGAGCTGCATCGACTTCGATCTTCAACAAGAGGTAAAACTTGTCATGACGACTTATGTTCTCAGGATTAGTGCTTCCATCTTTATGATACTCTAATCTTGTCTATATGATTCGTCGAGTTATCATATATCTCACATAATCTTCGATAATATCTTTATCTAACCTATAATCGACTAGCATCTGTTAATGGAAGGCAGCCGATTAGGTTAGACAATGATGTTAACTTAGATTATGTGATATATCTACCACTCTACGAAACTTCCAGCGGCTTGATTGTCTAGATGTTGTGTTTCTTTTCATACTTAGTGCTGCATTAGTTAAGTTTGATCTACTAAGTCGTGCTTAGAACTACAATCTCTAGCCTGCTTTCTGGTTGCCGGTTAGGGTAGTATCGGAGTTTCAGCCGATCTTATCTAATTTAACTACTTTTATTCCATATGCTTAATCTATATGTTAAATCTGCCCTTTATGTTAAGATCTTATCGCATCTAAGTATATTAGACTTATGTTTGGTATATTCTACTTGCTTTAACATCTTAATACAGAGTGGTATCGGAGTATTAGCCGATACATGCCAGATCCATTTGATCGGCTATGCTATAAATGTATATAATCCCACTATTAATATATATTTCGATCTAAGTGATTTATACTGTCTCGACAAGGTGACCGATCTATCCCAATCACTTGATTTAAGTATATATCGATATAAGGATTATATATCATTAATATCTACAGCCGATCGAGTAGATTTAGTCCTGATTTGTTTATTGATATTTGCCGATCGATGTACGCATGACATCGGCTTGAAATAAATAATATGTCATCGGCACCTAGCCGATCGGCTATCATTTATAGGATTGATTGCGGTTTCTTTGTTCTATTTCTTGTTAATTACAAGATCAAATCAACTGGCACGCTCATACATCCGAAGGTGAGTTTTGGACCTGCACTGGAGTTAAGCAGATCTCCCAGGCCTCGTGTTTTCTGTCAAGAACTAGCTCTCAATGACTTGGCTCCTCGCAGATTCCTGCTTCTTAGGCTATGTTGGTTGTATGATTCGATGATCTATGCCCTCCCCCGGGGGGTCCCTTTTATATCACAGATCTGGAGGTCTCCAAGTAGAACTCGGAGATATCAGACCCAATACGATACGCCGACGACCCAGTTCTGTCCGAGAAGGACTCTTCCCATCTGTAGATTTCGTGAAAGGTTTCCTTAGGATATGTAGAAAACATCCGCGTGCGCGTGGGTATGCCATGTCGATATGTAACGTATATCGAAGGGTAGAGGGTATGCCTGACCCGTAACCCTGACACACATAAGATACATACTATTGTATTTTTCAACTTGAAAGGAGACACTAGATGGAGTATAAACCAGCTACGACTAGCTGTGTAGTCATGTCCAATGAAAAATGCATGCATTAAAGTTACTTTCTTTTGTTCTAAGATACTTCTATAATATATGTAAATTACCTTTTGGCTTTGCTGAATTTACTTTTATATGTCTAAGAAGTAACTTAGTGAAATCTAAAAGTAATTTAGACATATCATAAAAGTAATTTATGATTTTTCATCAAAATATAATCATGTGAGATCTTGTTATAAAGATTTAATTATTACGAACACAACGGTGTAATCGGATCGTAAATCGGATGAGTAGTTTAAGAGAAAATTTTATTTGAAGTATAGGTGTATAGAGTCTCTCATAGATGGAGTGGTAGCTGGTTTAGACACAAACCAGCTACCACTACTGTGTAGTTATCTCCTAAACTTATATAAGTTTTAGCACTTTGGTAAAATTAGGACGGCAGCAATCCAAATTCGCCCTAAGAAACGAATCAAGAAATAGAGGAACAAGACCCGATTTTCAAGCTATAATCTATCATTGTTCGTAACATGACAAGGATTTTTTATCCGTCCCCCGCCCCCTGCCTGTGACGTCACCAGTGACGCGAAACGCCGGCCGGCACGAGCCCGGCACGTACGCCTGGTCCTACTATTCCTAGTCCTAGCAGCGTCGACGTCTTCGTCCGCTACGTACCTGACTACCCACCTGCACGTCAGTCGTCAGGACGTCACGTCACCGACACGTGGGGCCCACCCCACCCGCAGCTGATAAACCGGTACACACACCGTCCCGTCTGCTTTGCCTCGCGCGCCCGAGCTGAGACACGGCGAGCAACACGATGGCCAGCGTCGACGGAGCGACGCGCCGCGGCGGCGGCGATGGAAGCATCAGGCGGCGCCGGGTGCTGGTGTTCCCGCTTCCGTTCCAGGGCCACATCAACCCGATGCTGCAGCTCGCCGGCGCGCTCCACGGCCGCCGTGGCGGCGGCGGCGGCGAGCTGTCCGTCACCGTGCTCCACACCCGCTTCAACGCGATCGACCCGTCGCGCTACCCGGAGCTCGCGTTCGCCGAGGTGCCCGACGGCATCCCGCCCGACGTCGCCGCGAATGGTAACATCGTCGACATCATCGTAGCCCTGAACGTCGCCATGGACGGCGGTGAGTCGTCGCCGTCCTTCCGCGACGTGCTCGCGTCGGTGGTCGCCGCCGACGACGAGGGGCGGAAGCCCCGCGCGTCGTGCCTCATCATCGACGGTAACCTCATGGCCGCGCAGAAGACCGCCGCCGAGCTCGGCCTCCCCACGCTCGTGCTCCGCACCGGCAGCGCCGCCTGCCTCGGCTGCTACCTCGCCTACCCCGCGCTCCTCCAAAAGGGCTATTTGCCTCCCAAAGGTCACTACCAAATCATCATCTTTTCACATCACAGTTTTCCATTTCATTTTGAATCCAAACAATCCTTTCGTTTTGCATTCATGCTCTAAGTTCTAACTACATCATTGTGGAGTGGAGGCCGGGTTTTATATTGTGGCTTTGTACATCCCTTGAGATATAGAGGCCGGCTTTTATTTAAATCCACTGTCTAATTAAGAGAAACAATATTATTGTCATTTGTTTCAGAGTCGCAACTCTATGAACCAGTGGAGGAGCTACCGCCACTGCGAGTAAGGGACCTGTACTACACGAGCAACGCCAACCAAGAACTGGTCCGTAAAGTTCTTGGTTGGATCGCCGAAACGGCGAGAAACTCTAACGGTGTGGTGATCAACACGTTCGACGAGCTGGAGCCGGCCGAGCTCGAGAGGATCCGGCGCGAGCTTGACGGCGACGGCGTCGCCATCGTGCTCGCCGTCGGCCCGCTCCACAAGCTCTCCCCCATGAACGCCGGGGGCAGCCTGCACCTGTGCCCGGACCGGAGCTGCATCGAGTGGCTGGACACGCAGGCGACGGGATCCGTGTTGTACGTGAGCTTTGGGAGCTTAGCGTCATTGGACTCCAACGAGTTCTTGGAGGTGGCATGGGGATTGGAGAGCAGTGGCCAGCCTTTTCTATGGGTGGTTCGACCAGACCTTGTGAAGGGTTTGGATAAACCAAGTTTGCCGGATGGGTTCGAGCGTGCGGTGGAGGGTAGGGGTAAGGTGATTAAGTGGGCCCCACAGCAAGAGGTGCTAGCACACCACGCAGTGGGAGGGTTTTGGACGCACAATGGGTGGAACTCGACGCTAGAGAGTGTTAGTGAGGGAGTCCCAATGATATGTAAACCTCAATTTGCAGACCAAATGTTGAATACAAGGTACTTAGAAGCGGTGTGGGCTGTAGGCTTTGAGCTTGTTGGCAAGCTAGAAAGGGGTGAAATCAAGAAAGCGATTAAGAGGTTGATGGTAGAAAAGGAGGGAGCTGAGATCAGGGAACGAGCAAAAGAGCTTAAGAAGAAAATGGACCAATGCTTGGAAAGTAGTGGATCTTCTCAAATTGCCATCAACAGGTTAGTGAATTATATAATATCTCTCTAACACTTGAGTTTAATTATGTACTTATCGTGTGAATACTACCATCGACGAATTGTGAAGAAGTTGAAGGTTTCCTTTAATTTTCTTATTTATATGTATCAAAGCAAGTGATATAGATGTCCTCATTCTCCCAATGTCCTTCTTCGCACTGGCCTAGGGGTAAAATTTCACTCCTCTAAGAACAACCACATTTAGTTTGTCACTGTTTCTGTTCCGTTGTGAGGCATCAAGAATCAATAAGCATTTCATCATCGTCTTTGCCATCAACGCACAGATCTCTCGTAGGCCCTATGCATGATATTCACGTCATGTGGCCAGTGGCGGAGCTAGAAAGTTTCCACGTCTAGGACTGATCTAATGGGAACTTAAATATTTTCATAAATTACATAGTATTTTTCAAGATTATAATAGGGATTATGGAGCTAGGCATGGGGCCCAAGCCCTAGCTGCCCTATGCCTGATTCCGCCCCTGCATATAGCCTTTACAATTTTCACCATGTATGTGGCTCTCTCTTGATGCACCACACAACATTTATTTGACTGAAGTGCCAATAGCCAATGCATAGGAGAAGAAGAGATGGGACAAAGTCCTATCAATGTGAGAAATATTATCTTTCCTTCATCCTTATGCACCACTAAGTAGTACTGTAAATCTTGGAGTTATCTTTCTTGTCACAATATCTCCCTCTCATCCTTAGGTTTGATTGTTGAGTACGAGCCAAATATCCCTTTGTTTTCTTACATATTATATTCTTTTCGCGTTTAATTAAGCTCGGCCATATAGTACGAGTTAATAAACTTTATCTCTTTTATCTCTTTTCATGTTCCCTCATTCTTAATTTTGATTCTATGTGTGAAAACAAACTAGAACAAGAGAAGCATTACAACAATATTATAAGGGACGGTCTATATCATATATTTATAGAAAACCACTTTCATACTTTTTAAACGGCCTAGAACACATTAAGATTTGTGCATGACAATGACCCCACCTTATCCTCTCCTCATTTTTCATGCCCACTTTGCCACTCGACGCCTCAATTCATCCCATGCCACCGTGGCTCCATGTGACCCCCTAGCCTCACTAGCGCTGGAAGGTGCAAACGGCGTCCGACAACCCAACTCTTCTCCTATATCAGTTGGGACGATAAAAACACTATGAATCTTTTAAGTATATATAAAATAAAGATTTATCACAGCAGTATAAAAAAAAACCCTCCGACTGGTGACGCCTAGCTGGCTATATAGCTGCTGCTCCGTGGCAACTGGCATCCAGAAGAAAATGCAAAATAGCGCAACGTCAACAATACCAAATGCGGTGCTTTACACCTTGTCACCGAACGCGATTTGTTTGTTTCGCCCCTACCAGTTCTGCAGTACTGCAGTCACGTCACCTTTTCACGTGGGACCCACCTGGAAAACCGAGAAAAATAACGGCGACAGCTGGGCCTTTAGCGCGAGCTGATTACACGCAGAGCGAGCGACATCCTACTGACCGCGATGGCCAGCGCCAGCGTCGTCGGAGGAGGAGCGCGCCACGGCGGCGAGCGGCGGCGCCGGGTGCTGGTGTTCCCGCTGCCGTTCCAGGGCCACACCAACCCGATGCTGCAGCTGGCCGGCGCGCTCCACGGCCGCGGCGGCCTGTGCGTCACCGTGCTCCACACCCGCTTCAACGCGCTCGACCCGTCGCGCCACCCGGAGCTCGCGTTCGTCGAGGTCGCCGACGGCATCCCGCCCGACGTCGCCGCGCGCGGTCGCGTCGCCGAGATCATCCTCGCCATGAACGCCGCCATGGAGGCCACGGAGGACGAGAGCGGCGCCGCGTCGCCGTCCAACATCCGCGAGGTGCTCGCCTCGGTGGTCGCCGCCGGCGAGGGGCAGCCCAGCGTCGCGTGCCTCGTCATAGACTCCCATCTCCTCGCCGTGCAGAAGGCCGCCGCCGGGCTGGGGATCCCCACGCTCGTGCTCCGCACCGGCAGCGCCGCCTGCCTTCGCTGCTACCTCGCCTACGACATGCTTCTTCAAAAGGCTATCTGCCTCCCAAAGGTTAGGACTAAACAATCGCATATTTTCATACACCCCCGTCTCAAACTATAAAGATTTTGGAACGAATCTAATATAAGAATTTACGGGATTCAAATTCGATATACAATGTAAGTATTTTTAAGGATACATATTTGAATGCACGCAATCTAAGCATCGGGACTAAAGAGATAACTGAAGGAGAATCTTTCCCCTTAATCTTAATCTTTGCTAAATAAACTTTAGAAATAGAGGGAGTAGGTTTTATTTGGCTTTGAATCCTTGTGTTGTATCCATAGAGATCATGTAAAAAATGTTAAAGTTTGCTAAGTTTTATATCCGCCATTAATTATATTTTGGTTGGTAAATGTATTATGAACCAGAATCACAATTATACGAACCAGTGAAGGAGCTACCACCACTGCGAGTAAGGGACCTTTTCAGCACCGTGATGAACTGGTTTTCGAAGTGCTTGCTCGGATCGCCGAAACGGTGAGGAACTCCAATGGCGTGGTGATCAGCACATTCGAAGAGCTGGAACCCATGGAGCTCGAGAGGGTCCACGGCGAGCTTGGTGACGACAGCGTAGCCACCGTGCTCGCCACTGGCCCACTCCACAGGCTCTCCTCCATGAACACTGGGAGCAACACCTTCAACCTACGCCAAGACCAGAGCTGCATCGAGTAGCTGGACACGCAGGCGACAGGGTCCGTGTTGTACGTGAGCTTTGGGAGCTTGGCATCCATGGACTCCGACGAGTTCATGGAGGTCGCATTTGGGTTGGAGAAGAGCGGCCATCCTTTTCTATGGGTGGTTCGTCCAAACCTTGTGAGGGGGGTGGAGAGAGCATGCTTGCCGGATGGGTTTGAGAGTGCGGTGGAAGGTAGGGGTAAGGTGATTAAGTGGGCCCCACAGCAGGAGGTGCTGGCACACTGTGCAGTGGGCTGGTTTTGGACACACGGTGGATGGAACTCGATATTGGAGAGTATATGTGAGGGAGTTCTTATGATATGTAGGCCTCAATTCGCAGATCAGATGATAAATACAAGGTACGTGGAAGCGGTGTGGGGTGTAGGGTTTGAGCTCGAGGGAAAGTTAGAGTGGTGCAAAATTGAGAAAGCGATTATGAAATTAATGGGGAAAAATGAGGGAGCTGAGATGAGGGAAAGAGCAAATGAGCTTAAGAACAAAGTGGCACGCTGCTTGGAAGACGGTGGGTCCTCTCAAATTGCTATTGATAGGCTAGTTAGTTATATCTTATCTTTGTGAATCATAAGTGGCTAAGTTAATTGGTGTAAGTATTTCACATTGATATTTATGAGAACAAAGCAAACTCTTGTAATCCTTGGATTTTTTTTTGTGTTCTTTGGACAAAGAATCTCTTTTGTCCAAATAATTAGGGCTAGTAGTGTTACATAGTTCATTCCACAAGAAGGTGAATTGTACTATTTCCTCCGTCCCAAATTAAATCAATTTCTATGTTTGAATTTTGTCCCGAATTAAACCAACTTCTACCTTCTTACTTACCATCCATTGGCAAATCAAAAAAAATTATCCATTTAATACCCCTCACCAACCTATCCATCAATACAACTTTCCTATTAATTAGGGCCATTTTGGTCTTTTGTCTTTTTTCTTAGGGCTTATTCGGTTTACAAGATTTCCAAATCATAGGAATATAAAAAAAACATAGGAATCGTATAGGAACGCGTGTGCAAAACAAATGATAGGAAAAATATAGCATTGATCCTTTGGATGATTGGTAGGAAAAATACAGGAATGCTTAGTATTAAGTTAACATGATCAAGGTTGGAATACTTTAATCTGTACAACTTAAGGCTAAATACACAGAACAATGAGGGGCCCTTTGAATCGTAGGAATGAAAAAGATGTTGGAATAAGAAAAACAAAAGATTCTGACAGGAATTAAAGTGCAAAACAGACGATTACAAAACACATGGAAAATACAAGAATGACCGTTTGATTGGATCGCAGGAAAAACACAAGAATAAGATAGAGAGAGACTCAAAGGAAATTTTCCAAGAGGTTGACGCTCTAGCAAAATTTTCTCCAAAATCTCTATAGGATTGTCCATTCCATAGGATTTTTGAAGGATAGGATAGGATTCAATCCCTTGTTTCAAAGGTATTCATAGGATTTTTTTTCCAATAGGATTGAAATCCTCGAAAATTCCTATGATTTTCCTCCAAATCAAAGAGGCCCTAAGTGATTTGCCTTCATCCTATGCGTAGGAATAGAAAAATGAGCTCTAACTGGATGCTAATTTCCATATGGAATTTCTTAGGAATCATAACCAAAGGAAATTTTCCTATGCTTTTCCTTTGCTCAAATACTACAAAACGAATGGGCCTTGTACGTTTTTCCTTTATTTCTCCTTCAAAACGAATGGGCCCTTAAACTTTATCTTGAAGAAGCTACGGTTTGAAATTTGAGGAACAGAGAAAGTAGTAGGTTAAGATAGGTCAACATCAACCTTCAAGTGTGATATCCTAGGTTAGTTGGAGGATGGTGATTGCTACTTTACCAATCACAAAGAGAAACAAGAGGCAACATCTACTGCTCACAACCCTACATATCACTATTGTTAGGCCTGGTTTAGATCCCAAATTTTTTTCCAAAAACATCACACATCGAATCTTTGGACATATGCATAGAACATTAAAATATAGATTAAAAAGACTAATTACATAGTTAAGGGGAAATTCGCGAGACGAATCTTTTGAGCCTAATTAGTCCATGATTAGCCATAAGTGCTACAGTAACTCACATATGCTAATGATGGATTAATTAGGCTCAAAAGATTTGTCTCGCAGTTTCCAGGCGAGTTATAAAATTAGTTTTTTCATTCATGTCCAAAAACCCCTTCCGACATCTGGTCAAATATCCGATGTGATACAAAAAAATTTTCTTTTCGCAGACTAAAACAGACCCTGACTGAACTTTCCTAGAAGCATGAAGAATCAACGGTCAACCATCCAGGCATCAGCACTAGAAAATCTTTTGTTGGCCACTACGCAAATTAATTAATGAATACTAATCCCTAATAATTATACTGTTTTTTGCTTCTTCACTTGTTGACCAAATCTGGATATATATATATATATATATATATATATATATATATAAATCGATCCCCCAACTAGTCCGAAACCTGCAACAGCAACGGGCTGTCCAATTCCACAATAGAAGGAAAGCTTCCTGGCCAGCCAACCGCCGGCGAGACGACGGCGACGATGGCCGGAGCCAGAGATAGAGGAGACGGGCGAGCCCCACGCGGCCACGTGGTGCTGTTCCCGCTGCCGTTCCAGGGCCACCTGAGCCCGATGCTGCAGCTCGCCGGGGCGCTCCACGCGCGCGGGCTCGCCGCCACCGTGCTCCACACGGCCTACAACGCGCCCGACGAGGCGGCGCACCCGGAGCTCGCGTTCGTCGCCGTGCCGTCGGCCGACGCCATCGCGCGCGCGCTCGCCGCGGCGCCCCGGGACGGCATCGCCAAGATCATGGCGCTCAACGCCGCCATCGAGGCGTCCGGGTGCGCCCGCGACGCGCTCGCGTCGCTGATGTCCGGGCCGGAGCGGCCGGCGTGCCTGGTCATCGACGCCGCGCTCCCCGGCGCGCAGAAGGCCGCGGCGGAGCTCGGCCTTCCGACGATCGTGCTGCACACCGGCAGCGCGGCGGCGTTCCGCCTGTTCAGGTCGTACGCCATGCTCCGCGAGAAGGGATACTTGCCAGCGAAAGGTGAGCTGAAAATCATTTTATTCTAAAAATACGGCTAAAATTCTTTCAAATGAAATTTCAAGTTTATTACAGGTGGTCAATTATTTATTTTGTATACAACTGTTTTAGCTTTAAGGATACTCTTGTTTCTAAATACAAATTAATTGCTCCAGCTATTAATTTAGATGGTTTAATAATTTCATTTGACCAGTACACATTTCAAATGGATTTTCAAATTCATTAACAGATGGTCAATAGTTTGTTTTGCATATGTAATGCAACTCTGTTTCATCTGTTAAAAAAGCTCTGTTTTTAAATTTCAAATACAACCATGTCAACGTATCTAACCACACAATTGCACTAGTAATTAATCAATCAATTAATTAATTCAGATGACTATATACCCATTCCAAACCAGTTACCCGGATGCCTTAATTAGTTCCATTTGAACAAATTTTGTTCTGTTTCGTTTCAGAGTCTGAGCTGAACAGGCCAGTGGAGGAGATGCCACCACTGCGTGTATCAGACCTGTTCGACCCAAGCAAGTACTTCAACGAGGAAATGGCCAACAAAATCCTGGCTCTCTCTACCGAAACCACAACGAACTCCTCCGGCACAGTGGTGAACACATTCGAAGCTCTTGAAACCCCTGAACTGCGCTCAGTTCGTGACGAGCTCGGCGCCACCATTCCGGTCTTCGCCATTGGCCCTCTCCACAAGCTCACCAGCAATGGCGACAGGAGCAGCCTGCTGGACCAGGACCGGAGCTGCATCGAGTGGCTGGACACGAAGGAGCCCGGATCCGTGCTATATGTGAGTTTTGGGAGTGTGGTCATGGTGAGCCAGGATGAGTTCAACGAGGTAGCCTGGGGTTTGGCAAACAGTGGAAGGCCTTTCCTATGGGTGGTTCGTCCTGGTCTCGTTATCGGTGTCTCGGGGAAACCGGAGCTACCGGAAGGGTTTGTGGAAGCGGTGGAGGGTAGGTGCAAAGTGGTCGATTGGGCACCGCAGACGGAGGTGCTAGCTCACCATGCGGTGGGTGGGTTTTGGACGCACAATGGTTGGAACTCGACGTTAGAGAGTATTTACGAAGGGGTCCCGATGTTGTCAAGGCCTATCTTTGGAGATCAACTGGTTACTGCGAGGTACGTGCAGGAGACGTGGCAGATAGGTTTTCGGGTGGAGGGTAAGCTAGAGAGATGGAAAATTGAGGAGGCCATTAGGAGGTTGATGGAAGGTGAGGAGGGGGCTGAGGTTAAGCAGAGGGCAGATGAACTTAAGAAGAAAATATTGATATGCTTGAAGAATGGAGGTTCTACTCAGCAAGCTATTGATAAGTTGGTGGACCATATGTTATCTCTTTAGATTTTTCCTTTTAATATACTCTTCGAATCTCTAATGTATGCTAATAAATGGCATTGGATGAAATCTACATTATATACTAATATATATAATTGATAAGCAAATCTCCACTATGAGAGTGTTGGAATTCTATTTATTAGGGCTGATCGGGAGACATTGCTGCGGCTGAGCAGCCGCATCAACAACACCAAACCTAATATAATTGTTACTGCTTGCACTGTACACACAGCACAGCCGCACCCGCAGCTAACTACAAAGCAGCACAAACGATCAACCTCATTGAGAATAATAAAACTATGAAGGCCTCTTTTGATTCATATGAAAAAGTAGAGGAAAAACATAGGAACAAGAATCTTATAGGATTTGGTACTGTTCATCCCTTTGATTTGTAGGAATTGAACATAGAAAAAGCATGAGAAAATTTCCTATGACATGATTTTAAGGGAATTCCATAGAAAAACTAACATCCACCTTGAGCTCATTTTTATTTTCCTATGCGTAGGCAAAACACTATTGAAAGATAAGGTTTACCCTAGTAAAACCATTCAAATTTTGATTGCTATTAACTTAATACTCAACATTGCTGTGTTTTTTCTTTGTACCAATCAAATGATCATTCCTATAATTTTTCTATGTTTTTCAATCCTCTAACATATCCTCTGTTTTCCATATGATTTCCTATACTATTCCTGACTTTTTCATATTTCTATATTTCTTCAATCCTGTGATTAAATGGGCTGAAATGTATTTTCTTTCTTCTACGAGCCTGTTCGGCAGGCAGGTGAGCACGAGCAGCCGGCTGCTGCTTTTTTTTTTTCAGCCGAACAGGCCTACTACATGTTTGCCTAACTCACCAATAAACAATTTATCATGCCACATGTCAGTGGCGCCACGGCCCGCACCCACCACAGACCATCACAAGAAATCTAGGGTGTGTTTAATTCCACAATAAAATTAAAAGTTTGACTAAAATTAAAAGTTTGAAGAAAAAAAATAAAAGTTTATATGTGTAGAAAAGTTTTAATGTGATGAAAAATTGAAAGTTTGAAGAAAAAAAGCTGAGAAGTAAACAAGGGCCTAGTAAAAGACAATGTACTATGTACATCAGAACTCGGAGTTTTAATATAGGAGTACCTATCAAAGTATAACTGACAAACGTATCTACTCTATTAATTAAAGGGTTTATTCAAACAAAGCTAGAGGAAGAACACGGTGCAGCAATAGCCTTTTGTAAAATCTGAAACGCTATTTTTTTTAAAAAAAAGATATTTCATAGGATGAGAAGATAGCAAGTCCTTATGTGTGACTAACCATGATTCTCTGTATTACTGCTGATGTATCCGTGACATCTTATTTTAATAAACATGAAAACACCTCTCGTGTTATAGTTATTCCTCTTGTTTTGCAGTGTTTTATGCCATTAACTTTTGAATATATATATATATATATATATATATATATATATATATATTTCATCATTCGTCTTGTTAAAATATTAGGTAATTACCATTTATTTTACATAAAAGATATTTTAACCATAACTTATATTTTTTAACAACTACTACATAAATTAAAGAATGATAAATGTACATTTATAAGTTAAATGTGTCAAACAATAAAACCAAAGTGACTACTTCCTCTTTCTCAAAATATAAGTATTATCGGGGTTTAACACGAGTATTTAAAAAATAAAATGAAAATCATCAAGGAACATTACGATTGGTTGAGAAGAAAACATGAGTAAAGCAGTGGAGTACTTCCATTCTTTGAATCGAACACACCCTTGTTGAGAAACGAAGACCTCAGTGAAGGGACGAGGACCCACACCCTTGTTGAGAGTACATAAACAAACACATGCGGTTGAAACAAACACCCTTGTTGAGAGTACAATTGTTTTAGTCGCATCCTTGTTGAGAAACGAAGACCTCAGTGAAGGGACGAAGGCCCACACTCTCTTTCTTCCACGCCATCACGCAGCTTATGTGGACGCATGAAGTAACGCTCTAGGTGGAGCACTGTGAAAGGCCTAAAAAGTTTGCACATGAAAGTTTTTTTAAAAAATAAGTCCATTTTGCAAGCTTGTAATAATTAATACTCAATTAATTATGTGCTAATGTCTTATCTCGTTTCGTATGCCACTAAAAATCTACTCATTCTATCTAAAAATACTCAAATCGTGTCTTTATTCCTAATATTTAAGTTTTTTTAAGGGACAAATGGAGTACTTCCATTCTTTGAATCGAACACACCCAGAAATTTTATAGTTGGATCATGGAAGAGAGAGTTAAACACAATCCTTTCTCTAGTTCTATACTAGCATTGAGATTTAATGCACAACAAAACATCTCAATTACTTTTCTAATTAGAAGGTTTCATCTTGGTAAGTGGTCACATCATATGTATACTGGTCACTTAATTTTAGTTTATTTTGAAACGAAGGGAGCAAGTGATAAGAATGGAAGTACTACCTTAGCAAATGCCATCGCATCATAATATCATATAGCCGCATTTGTTGAAACAATTCTCCACCGACCTGAAAAAGAAATCCGTGTCAGTACTCTCTAGCGCTCGCTGCTTGTACCTCGCAAGTCGCAAGCCCCAGGACCTCGCCGAGGACGGCAGCGATGGCCACGCAAGAACGGGAACCCGAACGGCAACCCCACGCCGGCCGCCGCGTCGCGCTGTTCCCGCTGCCGTTCCAGGGCCACCTGAGCCCCATGCTCCAGCTCGCCGATCTCCTCCGCGCGCGGGGGCTCGCCGTCACCGTCCTCCACACGCGCTCCAACGCGCCCGACCCGGCGCGCCACCGCCACGGGCCGGACCTCGCCTTCCTCCCCATCCACGAGGCGGCGCTCCCCGAGGAGGCCACCTCCCCTGGCGCCGACATCGTCGCGCAGCTCCTCGCGCTCAACGCCGCCTGCGAGGCCCCGTTCCGGGACGCCCTGGCGTCGCTGCTCCCCGGCGTGGCGTGCGCCGTGGTGGACGGGCAGTGGTACGCGGCGCTGGGCGCGGCGGCCCGGCTCGGCGTCCCCGCGCTCGCGCTCCGGACGGACAGCGCCGCCACGTTCCGCAGCATGCTCGCCTTCCCGCGGCTGCGCGACGCCGGATTCATCCCAATCCAAGGCAAGAACGGATGAATTCGAGCTTGAATCTTGGGGGAGAACTCAGATGAGTGCCACTTCGTTCTCGCTGAATCTTTGTGGATTATCCCTGCAGGCGAGCGGCTGGATGAGGCGGTGCCGGAGCTGGAGCCGCTCCGGGTGCGAGACCTGATCCGCGTCGACGGCTGCGAGACGGAGGCGCTGTGCGGCTTCATCGCCCGCGTCGCCGACGCGATGCGGGATTCGGCGTCTGGGGTCGTCGTCAACACGTTCGACGCCATCGAGGCGTCGGAACTGGGCAAGATCGAGGCCGAGCTGTCCAAGCCAACCTTCGCCGTCGGGCCGCTGCACAAGCTCACCACGGCGAGGACGGCGGCGGAGCAGTACCGCCATTTCGTGCGCCTGTACGGTCCGGACCGCGCCTGCCTCGCGTGGCTGGACGCGCACCCGCCGCGCTCCGTGCTGTACGTGAGCCTGGGGAGCGTCGCCTGCATCGACCACGACATGTTCGACGAAATGGCGTGGGGTCTCGCCGCCAGCGGCGTGCCGTTCCTCTGGGTCAACCGGCCCGGCTCCGTCCGCGGCTGTATGCCAGCGCTACCCTACGGGGTCGACGTGAGCAGGGGCAAGATCGTGCCATGGGCGCCGCAGAGGGACGTCCTGGCGCACCCGGCCATCGGCGGGTTCTGGACGCACTGCGGGTGGAACTCGACGCTGGAGAGCGTCTGTGAGGGGGTGCCCATGCTCGCGCGGCCGTGCTTCGCCGACCAGACGGTGAACGCGAGGTACGTGACGCACCAGTGGGGCGTCGGGCTGGAGCTCGGCGAGGTGTTCGACCGGGACCGCGTCGCCGTGGCGGTGAGGAAGCTGATGGTTGGGGAAGAAGGCGCCGCGATGAGGGAGACAGCGCGTCGCCTGAAAATCCAGGCGAATCAATGCGTCGCTGCGACTCTCGCCATTGACAATCTAGTTAAGTACATTTGTTCGCTGTGAACTGCTCGTTGTAGCATATCAAGTCTTCAGATAATTAGTACTCCTGTCTCTTCATGTTATCTCAATATCTGCTGTAAATTTGTAGCCGAATTGTAACTGGCAAACTTCTGTTGATGAACTCTTGGAAATCTTTGATGTATAAGATTTCAGTGGGATCACTCAACTGAAGTGTTCTGTCCAAACTTTATTCAAGTTATGTTCTTTTCTGATGGTTTTAGTCCTGTTTTCGCTGTTATATGAACTTGATGGTTCTACTACAAAACTATGTGCACTGAAGTCGACTTACTTATGTAGTTATATTGCAGATTTGCAGTTGCTAATATCCTACTGTTTTGTTGTTTCAGCTGTCTCTTGTCTGAACATGCTGGAATTTTGATAACATCCTAACCTGATCGTATATTCAGACATTTCAAGCTTGTTACGATTCTGAGCATGGACTTTGATGTCAATGCTGTTGAAAAGGAGTAACTGTATCTGATAAGAGTTTCACAAAAACAAAGCATAGAGAAATTTGAGTAGAAGTATGAACGATGTAAGCAAATGACATTTTCAAAGTAGTAAGAGAATTATATAACTAAATTCTGCAGACCTAAAATGACTTGGATTCTTCAGAATTGGTGCTACAGCACACAAAGTATGCTATAAATAACAGCTGTCAATTTGGCCCAATGAATATCCTGAAATAAAATAAGCAACTGATGAATTATTTGTACAAAGGCTTGGTCAAAAAAATTATTTGTACAAAGGAACATATGTATTTTTTAACACAAAAAAATATATAAAATGGTAAATAGTGCCAGTGGTATATTATTTGAATAAACATGTAATTCGAAGAATGTTTATATATTACAATGTAGTATTGGCTCCGGTTCAAGATTGAAGTGTTTGTAAATTTTAAGGGTATGTTAGATAATGGAAAATAAGGAGTGGGATTGGAATTAAGAAATAAAAGAAGTGTTAGGATTAAATGGAGGAGAGAGAATGAATAGTTAGCATTCAAAGATGCCTTTTGGTGGGTGGGAAATCATTTCCCTAAAGCCCATTAATCAAACAAGACCTAAGAGTCCACGAGGTCATGTGAAACAGTTTGATGTTTTCTTAAAGATAAAAGGAATTTTTATTCAACTAACATGATTATTAAATCAAGGTAATATAACCATTGAGAACACTCACGAGTGTTTAAGTACTATGCACATATCCAAACATGGTATGATAGCTTCTTTAGAGAAAAATGATGATATTCCTTTTTACTTAACTTCTCTCTAAAACTTGCAATTCGTATTTCACACTTTAAATCGTTTAAAATGAAAAAATATCAACTACAAAGCTGTAGATCTCGTCTGTGTCATTTGGAAAATTTGAAAATCTGTTTTTAATGAGAACTTATAAACATATTCGGACATGTAATTGTTTTCCAAAGAAAACGTTGTCACCTACAAAGTTGCACATCCCATTGAATTATATAGCTTCGGTGTAGAGCATGTGTCCATCCAAGATCATTTAAAACAACTAGGAAGGTGGTCTGCGCGTATGCGTGGGCACTTATATTATTAAAAGGTAAGATTATTGTTTGTTCAGAAATTTTTTCTAATAGATTTAGGGCAAACTAAAGTTTGGATAATGTTATTTTATAATAATTTAAGGTATCTATTTTTCTTAAGATATCTTAGAAAACCATTCACAAACTTTTGAGTAGGAGATGGATTAAATACTTACAACTTTTGAATAATGTTTTTTTTCTCGAGTAAATAAGAAACTATTGCTAGTTAATTATCATACAGTCCATCTATATACATACGTATAGTATGGCCGCAAATGAAAAATCCGAGTGCAAGATACTCAAAATTCTTTTGATTAAATCGTCTCATGAAGACGCATGATATGGTAATAAAGGGAGGGAAGCATATGCATGGGAAAAAAAGAAGAAAGAGAAAAATGAAAAAAAGGGAGGGGAGGCATACGTACCATGCACGTAGGTGCGTACCTATGCCGAGGTGGGACCTCGTACTATTTAGTTTGTTCTAAGATCATTTTAATCTAACGGTTTATAATATTGGACCTACGATTTAACTGAAAATCAAGTAATAGATACTTTGATTTTTTTTCTTAGAATTTCTAATATTTGCCCTAATTTATTACAGCACCACGTGGCAGCTTGCGAGCATTTTAAGGAATTTTAAATGACTAATTAGAATATTAATTGTGCAATATATATGTGTGGGACATATGGTAATATTTGTTCCAACTTCATCCATGTTTATATACATGTAGAGAGAAATTAATATTGTGGCTAGCAAGCCATTAGATGTCTAATTAATAGCAACTAATTTTGACACCTATTTATAATTGTTCAGAGTAACTCTTACATATTCATCTTATGACTTCGATGATCCGTTGATCACCAATTTACTTATCACCATGACTCACATGAAAAAAAAATATGTAGTACTTAAGGTTTAGAATAGCTGAAATTGATGAATTATATAATTTATGTGATAGCTATTTGAGGGTATAATTGAATGAATTGACTTCTAAAAAGTTAGAATGTTGTTTAAAGAAGACACCATTTAGAAACTTGAAATGCGTGTAAACAAAAACCAAAATATGGAATCGGGAAAAAAAAGAGAGGGCCTTAAACTCCCTTTATCACCCTTATCGTAGTAAGAGTTATATTAATATTCGTCAATATTGTGCTCACATTTATAACATAATGATTCCTTTCACTTGTACAAACAAATAGTAAAAAATCCAAATACGACATAACACAAATACATTATAATTACTATATAATCAACTCTCGGTTTTAACTTAAACATAGCTAATTAGTGTTGAGAAAAACACAACCCATGGTGCTTAATTATTCTCTCGCTGCATCACACCTTTAATTTTCTTTCCATGTTATTAACAAAATTAATCATCTCCATATATGATTTGATATGTGGCAAAGCGGTAGCGCTACAGCAGTTATGATCAACTTAGATGTCTCAGACACTACGCTTTGTCACGCGTGTGAAAGGCCAAGGTGCAGACGTGCATTGTGCAGCGGGCAAAAAGAGAATTTCGAACGCTTTATTTATTAGCAATCAATAGATCCAATGATTATAATAATATGTCCACCTGTTCTAGTGTAAGTGTAAATTAGTTAATATAGATTTTAAATTGTTAATATAATGGATAGATAATATAATGGTGTAGACCTTATTTTGAAACAGTGCATTACTTGAGAATAATAGACCAATGTAATAAAAAGTAGATCCGATGATTTATATAATGGGGCCATCAGCTTAAGTGCACATATAAATTAGTTAATATAGATATTGCTTATTTGATAACTATACGATATAATTGTGTAAAATACGATATAATTGTGTAAAATTTATTTTAAAGTAATGCATTATTTGAAAATAATTGTACAAAGTAAAGAGTATACCCGTTTAAATTATATGATGGTAGATTCTTTGTTTGTAAAATAATGATTATTTAAAAAATATATCCATTAAATATATAAATTGAAAAAAGAAGAAAAAAGGAAAAAAAAAGGAGGAAAGGAAGCGTACATACGTACGTATATACTCCACCTGCCAATACATGGGAGGAGGATAGGTGGGACCCATGGTATTTAGTTTGTTTTAAGATCAATTTTATCTAACGGTCTATAATATTGGACCCACCAATTTAAGTGAAAATTAAGGGATAGATGTTTTGCTTTTTTCTTAGAATATCTAGGATTTTCTCTATTTTATTAGAGCGCCACGTGGCGACTTGAGAATGTTTGTAGGAAGCTTCATGGACTTTTAGTATATAATAATAGATAAATCAAAAATTCAATTTTCAAAATAAATATTAGAGCTTGTAACATATATTTAAGCACGTAAACAATCTCAAACGAAAAGACTGCCAATTAAATTGTAGATCTTATTGAGCTATATAATTTTAAAGTAAAGTGTCTCTTCATCTGATTTCACATAAAAATATATTTAAAAAATCAGTGTTATTATAATAAAGTAAATATTGACTTACCTTGTAACTATGTCGCTAACGGGGAAGACATCGATGTTGTTTTCAAGCCACGTCTGTTATTTAATCGAAGACACGTGTCTCAAATATATTTTTGTGAAACCATATAGAATAATAAATTTATCATCCTGATATCAGGAGGTATCATATTTTCTAATTCTAATGTAAACTCGATAGCTATATATATATACTAGATAACTCTAGTGTAAAATTTTGAAATACACATGTTTTTTTGTCAAATACTATTTTCTTATTATAATAGTAAGGATTAGCCAGCAAAAGTCTAGCCTCGAGCTTGTGAGTTATCACACATATTGTCTTAGGCAAGTACTGTAATACTCTATATGCTGCCCCTAAGAGTGCAACATTGGATTGAGGAGAGAAGTGATAAGGAGAGAGATGATGAGCCACCCTAAAAATAAAGAGGCAACCTCCACACGAACTTTAAGAAATGTGTGAGAGTATTAGAGCAAGTTCAGTAATAAAGCCCACTGTCGGCTACAATAGATAGCCATGTCATATATAGCAAACAATATAGCCAATGTGTATAATAGATTAATTGTAACACATATATTTTATTACCTTTGTCTAGCCCACCATCTTTCCCATCTGTTCCTCTCACCTTTGCTCCTTCGAACTACGGCGATGCACACGGCAATGGATGACGGTGGCACCCGCGGTGGCTGGGGCGGACAAGGACGCCAACTGAGGCGGAAGAGGGCGACGACGGTGGCGGACGCAGCGGATGAGGGTGCATCGGTAGACGGACGCGACGAACGTGATGGATGAGATGTAGCAAAAGAACGTGACGACGACGATCGCGGTGGACCAAGGGCAACGGCGACGGAAGAGGCCGTGGCCAAGCCGAACACGGGTGGCCGCGGTGGACAAGGTTGTAGCCGAGGCGGACGCAGGAGACAAGTGCAGAGGATGAGGTCGGCGGTCCAGGGGCCACAATGGACTATGCGGCGGCGGCGAACGCAGTTGATGGCGACAGCGAGGCGTCGGAAGCCATGGCGGGTGAGGGCAGTGGCGGCGACAGATCCAGTCGATGGCGACAACTGTCACGACAGATGCAATCGACGATGAATGCGGTCACGGCGGACGAGGATGGCGGCAACGGCAACAACCATTGCGGACGAGGGCGGCGACGACGGTCACGGCGGACAAGGGCGGCGGCAACGGTCACGACGGATGCAAGCGGACGAGTGCGGCGGCGACAACCATGGCGGATGAGGGCGGCAGTGACGGTCATGGCAGACGCTGGCAGCGGTAGCGGTCACGATGGCGATGGTAGCCATAGCGGACGAGGACGGGGACAGCGGCAATCCGGTGGTGCGTGACGTCGGCCATAGCGGTAGAGCACGACGTCGGTGATGCGGGCAACGGCGCCTTGCGCGGGTGCGCCCATCTCTCTTAGTGGGCCCACAGCGCCTCAGGCGGAGCGTGCAGCCGGGCGACTAATTAGTCGTCCCCTTCTTCTCTCTCCTTCAGCTCATCAATAAATCCTACGTGGATCATCTACCGCCCATTATTGTACCTGCTCTTAGAGATATTAGAGATATGCTAGAGATGACATATCTCTTCATTTATAAGTGAATGATATGGATAAGTTTGGATGAGACAGTCACATCTATCATAGCGTTTGCCTTTTTCGTTCATGTGGACAAGGCCCACCGGGGACACGCGGCCCCAGCCCGCAGCGATTGCCTTTTAACCGCCTTGCGCGTACTCGTGTGGCACCGGATTTCTAGATTTTTCCGCGACAAAAAATCGTTTCCAAATTCCTCACGTTTTTAGAAGAAAATCTGTTTATTTGCTCAGAGTTCGAAGGCTAACCGACATATACTGATCCCAACAAGAGTCCGAGAAACTTGCGAGTTCCAACGGCAAAACCCCATCATTCTCGTCTCGTCTCCATGGCGATCGAGATGGGAAAGCGGAAGCGGCCGGTGGACGACGGCGGCGACTCATCCGAGCCCGAGCTCCCCGCCGACATCATCACCCACATCACCGGCCGCCTCACCTCGCAGGTCGACTTCCTCAACTGCCGCAACGTCTGCCCGTCCTGGGAGCGCGCGCTGCGCGGCGAGGCGCGCCGCCTCGCCGCCGCGGTGGAGCGCGTCCCGTGGCTGCTCCTCGCCGCCAAGGCCGATGGCTCCTACCTCGGCCGCCGTCAAGCGGGTGACGTCGCGGCTGTGCAGCTCCCCGGCCGCCACGTGCGCCTCGGCCGCCGCGAGATCTGCCTCGGGTGCTCGTCCGGGTGGCTCGTCGTGGCGAACGACTTCGGGTACGCGCGCCTCGTTAACCCGCTCACCGCCGCCACCGCGCCGCTCCCGCCGCTCTGGAGGCTGCCCTACCTCGACGCCGCCCACGGCTACGACGGGTGCGTCGGTAGCTTCCTGTACGTGGACGAACACCACCGCGGCGGGCCGGGCGTGGCGTTCTCGTTCGACGGCCTCTGCGACCTCGTCCTGCTCAAGGCCGTCGTCGTCGACATCAGCGACGGCGGCGCCACCGTCGCCGTCCTCTACAGGAGGGAGAGGGAGTTCGCCATGGCACGCACGGGCCAGCGCTCGTGGCGTCTCGTCAACAACAAGCTGGACGGAATCGTCGACATGGCGAGGCACGGGGACGGCAAGCTCTACACGGTGCACCTCTCCGGCAAGGTCGCGCGCTGGAAGTTCGACTGCAACGTCCGCAGGTCGCCGGAGATTCTCGAGTCGGTGCTGGTCATCGACTCGCCCTACCACTACGTCGTCAAGGCGGACAACAACGTCAACGCCATCACCATGTCCCGGGAATACGAACACGACCACCGCGACCGCGCCGGCGAGTGCTGCTACCTCGTCGGAGCGCCGCGCGGCACGCTCTACCTCCTCAAGCGGGTGTACAAGCACAAGCAGGTCGGCAGCGACGGCGGCGGCGGAGGCCGGACGCAGCGCACCACGGCGACGTTCCACGTCTGGCACCTGACATGGGCCAGCGACGGCGGCATGGAGTGGCCGGCCACCATGGACGGCGCCGCCATCTACCATAACCTGGCGACGTTCGTCAGCTACACCGGCGCGGTGTGCGTCGGCAAGAGGGACGCCGACGCCGTGCTCGCCGGTGGCGCCGTGTACTTCACCGAGGACGCCGCCGGCTACGCCGGCGCCGCCATGGCGGAGGACTTCGGCGTGAGGAGGATCAACATCAGGAGGCAAAAAAGCAGGAGGATCACGAGGATGACGCGGTTAGACGACGAGTCGATGAAGAGGATCAAGGACAAGTTGGAGGATGAGGAGAGCGAGGAGGTGAAGCCGCTCGGGCGATGCATGAACTGGCCTCCTCCGTTTTGGTTCATCCCAAGTCTTGATGATAGCCTTGGAGCTGCGCCGCCGGGGAAGTAAGCTTAATTTTAGTTACCTTTTAGTGATGATCAACTCATCATTATGCAGCCCATTGTTCGGAATTTAGCTTGGAGGATTGATTCTGTAGTTAGACCTCGCGCCGTTGCTATGTGAATTTGGTATGATAATATTATTAGAAATGTAATGTAGAATACATGGCGTAACTTTATGTGGTTATACATTTATGTTTTTTATTTTTTTAATAGAAAGAAGTTCAAGTGGTAATTTGTAAAATTTACAATGAGAGTATGGGGATATCATATTCACTGCCACCACCACCACCTTCTTCTTAAAATAGTATAAAAAATTTTGGTGTATCTCGAAATACCTAGTACAAAAGGTACCGATTTTTAAATAAAAATATTATACTTTCCGATATCTATTTAAGAATAATAGTACAATTATCTTTTGTAATTAATATAATAGCCTACCAAAACAATAGTTATATAACTATCACATTACAAAGACACCTTTGATGAATCGAGGAGTACACCATTAATATCTTGACTTAGCTCTGTCATACAGCTTGTTGGAATTGTTGGAGCCCATCTCATAGCTGCATACAAATTCGAAAATGCTCAGCACCGCGCCCGATCGTACGCTGAAAAATCGGTCGCCGCGCGCGCCGTGCTATCGAGCCGCACGGATCGGACGGCTATCCATGCATCAGACTGTGACGTTGACGTTAATCAAAGCAAATACTAACATCTTTCATTTCTTGGAAAGATTTTTTCTCGTAAACTATTTATCTAATCTACAATCTGATTGCACCACTAAATTTGTTACAATTAAATCTTTACAATAAGACCACACATAATTATATTTCGACAAAAAAATATTTTGGCTTTTTTATTGATTTTTTTTTTAGAATGTTGCATATGGTTTTCTTAATGTTTCAACCAATAGTTTTACGATGTTTCAGATAGTGTACTAGTGATGTTTCACTATATATGGATCAAATATTGCAGTGGATTTTGATATTATGGAACGCGTCGTTGCAACAAATCACCCACATATTTTGAAAACCCTCTGTTAAGGAAATTTGGTTTATTTTTTGTTCACAAAAAATGTTTCACCTAGTGTACTCACAATGTTTCACTATGTATAGATCTAATGTTGCAGTGAACTGAAATACTCCATTGCAACAAAAAAACCCACATATTTTGGAAATCCCCTATTAAGGGAATTCGGTTTATTTTTTGTTCTACCGAAAAATGTTTCACCTAGTATACGTATAATGTTTCACTATGTATGGATCAAATGTTGCAGTGAACTGAAACGTTCTTTCGCTATTTGCTGAAACATTGTTTTTATATAAGGTGAAACAACACCCGATTTAAACGAGTGAAACATTTTCGATCTACTTAGTGAAACAATTCCGATATACCTGGTGGAACATCGTGCAACATTTAAAAATAATTCAATAATAAATTAAAATTTTTTTTGTCGGAATATATCCATGTGTGGTCTTGTTTTGAAGATTTAATTGCAACGAATTTAATGGTGCAATCGGATCATGATTTGGATAAGTAATTTAAGAGAAAAATCAATTTAAAGTAGTTTTACACGTAAATCGGGCGCTGACGTTATCAGCACCCAATTTTTCTCCAACCCAATCGGGCGCCCGAGCCATAGAGTCATCCATACAAATTTATCTATAGACGATCTCATTTCTAAAGTGGCAACTCTTCTTATACTGATCTAGAAAATTAACTAAGAAGTTGTTAATGGAGGACATAGATAGGTGGGTGCACCACGCCGAGCACATCTGCATATAGAGAAAGTTAGATGAATCGTTACCGTTAATTATATAATTTACTGAGTAAATTATATCCATCCAACCCTGTTTTTACTTTGGAATGCATAATCTTTTCCTTCCGTTTCATGTTATGGTCCACTCTACTCTTCGTGTGTCTTTCTCATTCCCACGCTCCCTCTATCCAAGACACCACACGCTCTATAGTAGTGCCGAGCGACTCAAGCTCAGGTTTCATGTGCGTGCGAGCGGAGACATCTATATATACGTGCTACCGTTTACTATAAATAACCACATAGAACGAACAACACTGTATAAATTAATTAATTAACCATATGTACTTCACACATATATTAAAATAAAACAAAGAAAAGTCATCATATATATCTCTCCAAGTATTGTTTTTTTAAAAAAAAATGGCACGCCTAAAATCGAGCCGAGCCGAAGCAGTGGCTCTCTCCTCCTTCTCATCTCTCTTTTATTATGTCCTTATCCACTCCACAAAGGAGACGTGCGGCACCCTCTCCTCTCTCTCTGTCTCAACTATCTCTCTCGGTCCCTCTCTCTCTCGGCTCTCTCAGTCGCAGCGGCGTGCGGCGGCGGGAGGAGAGGCGGCAGCGATGGGTAGCGCCGTCCCCTCCTCCAGATCCGGTGGGAGGGGAGGCAGCAGCAGCGATGTGTGGTGGCGGGAGGGAGGCGACATCAGCGATGGGCGGCGATGGGAGGGGAGGCAGCAGCGGCGGGTGGCGTCCTCCCCTCTGCCAGATCTAGCAGGAGGGAAGGCGGCTGCAGCGACGTGCGGTGGTGGGCGGTGGTAGGAAGGAAGGCGACAGCGGCGGGCGGCGTGCTATTCTTCTGCAGTTCCATCCTTGGCGAGGGGAGGTGGTAACGGCGGTGCTCGACGTACTGCTCGTCTGCAGCTCTATCCTCTCCAGAGGCCGTCGTCCATCTTTTTTGTGTTTGTATTAGTGTTGATTCTGGTGATGCTCTGGGATGTTTTTGAGTTCTTGGATGCCGATTAATTTGATGAATTAAATGATGGGTGAAATCGGGTGAAGGGGAGTTGCTCGATACATTTTCTTGAATTGAGCCGATGCCTCGAGCCAGCTTTTTTTTATTGTTATTTTGAAACCTCAAAGGTGTCGGTTCAAAACCGACATCGGAACCGGCACATATTTTTCCTTCACATGCTTTCTAGGTGCCGGTTGAAAATCCGGCATCTTTATAGGTTCCCAACCGACACCTATTTTCTTTTCTGAGGTAGTAATAGTTGCATACTTTCAAAAAGCACGCTTAATTGGCCGGGTACTAATCATAAAAATGATTGAGTCGTACCTTTAGGGTCTGTTCGGCTGCTTGTGTTGTGGCTGCGACGCAGCCAGCAGCAACAGTGCCGCACACATATGGTGCAGCCGCAGCCACCGTAGACAAGCAACCGAACAGGCCTTTAGTCTCTTACGAGAGCACGCACTGTGTGCAGTGACGTCCCTCCTATACATGGGTGCAACACCATTCTCTTATCTCCAGAGTGTTGTGAAATCCATTTCTGACAAGTTCCACACTGGATGTTCTGGAAGGTTAGCCCTGTTGGGCGTGCGTACGGTACAATGAATGGGTTGGTTCTATCTAGCTAGGTTGTGTTTAGATCCAGGGGTGAAAAATTTAGGTGTGTCACATCGGATATACGGATACACATTTAAAGTATTAAACGCAGACTAATAATAAAACAAATTACAGATTCTGCCTGCAAACTGTTTATTAGGCCTAATTAATCCGTCATTAGCAAATGTTCACTGTAGCACCACATTGTCAAATCATGAAGTAATTAGGCTTAAAAGATTCGTCTCGCAATTTACATGTAATATGTGTAATTAGTTATTTTTTTTAATATTCCATGCATGTGCCCAAACATTCGATGTGACATGGTAAAAAATTTTGCCAGGGGATCTAAACAGGCCCCTAGTCTACTGATTTGTCGCTTTTCAACCAAATACTCCATCCATCTAAAAAAATCAACCTATGTGACCTGATTCTCACGGATCAATTGCATATGGATGGTTTTTCTACTCAACTGAGCCAGTGAGATACAAGCATATAAATCATCTGGAGGCGACTAGGAATCGGACGCCCACGTCAACATGATGTCATCAAGCATTCATGCGTTCAAAAATATTTTAAACTATTTTTTCTCTTAATTTATTTATTCAAATCATGATCCGATTGCACCATTAAATTCGTTGCAATTAAATCTTTAAAACAAGACCACGCATGGATATATTCTGATGAAAAAATAGCTTATTATTAAATTATTTTTAAATGTTACACGTTGTTCCACCAAGTATATCAGAATTGTTTCACTAGGTAGATCAAAAATGTTTCAATAGTTTAAATCGAGCGTTGTTTTACCTTATATAAAAACAATGTTTCAGCAGATAGCGAAAGAATGTTTCAAGTCACTGCAACATTTGATCCATACAAAATGAAACATTATAAGTATATTAGGTGAAGCATTTTTTGTGGAACAAAAAGTGAAACGAATTCCCTTAGAGTTTCCATAGTATGTGAGTGATTTGTTGCAAAAGAATGTTTCAATTCACTGCAACATTAGATTTATACATAGTGAAATATTGTGAGTACACTAGGTGAAACATTAGTGAAAAAAAATATGAAACGTATTCCCTTAATAGAGGATTTCCAAAATATGTGGGTGATTTGTTGCAACGGAATATGTGGTCGGAACACGAGGCAGTATGAGGGCACGCGTGGGAGAGACATGGGCGGCGTAGCAGGCTCCATGGTGGGCTCCGGCGCCAGCAGCGCCCGATGCATCGATGCCCGGCGCCAAGCATTTTCGAAATCATGCCGGTCAAGTACTCGGATTACTCCTTAAGCCTTCTTCAAATAAGGCAAGCTCCGTTTCTGACAAAAATAATTAAATCGAGAAAGCCGTCAACGATGGTGCCGCCTCCGCCGATGGAAAATCCGCGATTTGAAGGTGGCGAAAACGGAGACAACGACTATCCTCTCGTCGCCACCTCCGATGGAGAGGCCGTGTCCTCGCCGTCACCGTCCGCGGCCGCTTCAACGCCGACGGCCGCCTCTGCGCCTACGGGAGGGAGCTGGTGGACGTCTGCATCGTGGACGTGTCCTCCGGTGAGGTCGTCAGGAAGGTGTCCGCCGGGAGGTGTGACATATATATAGCTAAAAAAGTCTATTCTACCTCCCTCTTCTTTGTGCTGTGGTATATAAATAGCTAAAATAAGTCTATTTAAGATCCCTATTCTTTCGACAGTGACATTTATATATCCATTTTTAGTCCCTATACTTTGTATGTCGGGCCTGGCCTGCTGGCCCATCGTGCCGGGCTGGCCCGACCGTGCCCAGTGTGCCGGTGGGGAGGCCCAGGCACAGCCCAGCGGTCGGGCCGGGCCAAAAAGCCATGTCGTGGGCCGGGCCTTCGGGCCCCGGGCCTTATGGCCATCTATAGTGTCCACCACCACCACCACGGCGCACCGCGGCGTGGCTCTCCTCGTCGG